ATAGAATGGGATAAGTGAAATGAAATGGCGGTTTTAACACAACCCATACTCGCCCTCTCCCCTTCCCCCACCTCCTTCCCAGAGAGTCCTCTTCCAGTACAACCTCCCCCCCCTCTCCAATCTCCTCACGACTTCTTCTCACAACCATATCAAACTCTCCCATCATAATCTAAAAGCTGCTCGGCCTAAGCATGAATTGGATGGGCCAGTCGATATATGTCAGTGTTTCCATCCTCTCAGAAGGGTCTGACGCTAACGCGATGATTTCGGTAGGATGAAAGCTTTGCCCTAACCAAGCGACATTTGGGCTTAACCGAACAGGATTTGGGGTTTGGTTTTCGCATCGTGTAAATACATAGTAAGTGAAGCTACTGAGCGCTGAGCTAACTACGCCAGTGTCAGAGGTAATGTTGCGGTTTCTTCTTTGGTAAGCTCTCGAATGAATAGTGCTAAAGGCATATAAGCACAACAATCCAGATTACCCCCACCCTCCACCCGTCTCTTCCCAGGAGGCCGACAAAGTCCTCGTCCGCCGGTGGCCGTGCATCGGTATAAGCACAAAATTCAGAGAAGCTATAGAATAGTGACGGCTTCAGATACCAACTTGGAAGGCTGGTTGATCGGAATGGGCATAATTCCCATTCTTTTCGCGACACTATTTCACCTCCGCCAATACACTGCCATTTTGGGGAGTTTGAGAGTACGACTGAAGCCTCAGCTAGCTTGATGTTATCTCGGCTTGGAAGAAAAGAAAAGTCGTAACGCGTACGGCGCATAGCCACGATCCTCTAGACTGATTTCTAAGTACAAAGTATTCATTGCACCAGCATTGAGATAACCGTCGGATTGGCGATCAAGCAATGATCATTATTCAAGTTGTTGTCGCAGGAAAACAGCTGCTACTGTGGAAATATTGCCAGACATCACAACATCGAAAAGCTTGCTCAACGATTCTTCAATTCTACTTCGATTTTCCCCAATTAATCGAGCCTCTGTTACGTCTTAGTGCTGACCGTATCACTCATCGTCAGTACGACACCCTGGGAGACTTTATCAATGAGAATTCAATTTTTTTTGACAACGAGCAGTGTTATGATGCTATTTTTAAGCTAAAGACACCACTAGTATCATATAACAGAAGGTGGTGGGGGGGGGGAATTTCTGCAAAATATGACAGCTGAGAGCTCTATTTTCCCAACTTCCCAACACTTATTTGAAGCTTTTCCTAGCCATTCCTCCACTTTTCCTCGAGCGGTAGGAGATGTAGCGCACTTGTGACAGGAAAAACCGCGAAGAGTGTCAACAATGAGAATGTTTTTCTTCAAAGAGGGAATTACGACCCGTTCCCTCTCCCTCCAACAACTAGATAGGACTGCCTCGCTGAGGATTGCTAACGTACGACGTGCCTTGCTCATCTGTTTAGCTCGGTCAAGAGAATGCGTTTTACCTTCTCTTCGCATGCAATATCGAATGAGAGACGTATGGTGCTCATCATTGCAGACCGGTGGGGCGGGTGAGCCGCGCCGCGTGTGACTCGGCTGTGACGCGACTGTCATCGCTGCCGCGTCACAGCCGAGTCACACGCAGCGCGGCTCACCCGCCCCACCGGTCTGCAATGATGAGGACTGTACATAGCTCGCCAATTTCGAGCACAATGACCAGAACGTTCTCGTTTACAGGAGTTAAAATTACTCCGAAATAGGCCACGAATGGCATTTCTAAGAGATCGTTCGACTTTTCCAATTTGTGCACGAAAACTTGGTTTTCGTGAACAAATATGCCAGAAAATACCCGCAGATTATTCGCTGGTTCATTGGTCTGAAGGCCAACTGACACATAGAAAATAACACAAGTAGCGATTATTCGGCTCCTCTTGTGTTTATTTTCCAGTAGTGCGCCTGTCACCGTCCGAGCAGAGTGCGAACCGGCAGTCCTTAGTGGAAGTTCTACTCAGGCATCGGGCTCATTATGTCTCTTACAATCAAAAGTCGATTCTATAGTAAATAAAAATTAGCCCACCCTGCATGGCTACAAAATGATGTTTGCCACTTTTATTCGTTGTATACTTCCTGATCTAGTTATTATCACCTAATTGTGGGTATGGGGGAGGGAGAAAGGGGGGGGGGGTAAGAAAGCATAGATCTTTTATAGTGATTTTTCTACTCACGTCTATTTCTTTAGCCAGTGGAGTGAAATTCCCTCTCCCCCTCCCCGCTATGCGAGGCTCGAACCCATATAACTTTATTTCAATTCGCTTCCTGAATTCCTGAGTTGCGCGAACCTGGCTCGTATCTTATTTGAACGTGGAGGCAGCTGCTTTTCCGTGAAATATTTCCAGATAACATAGCACATCCCACAAAAAACCCATCTTCTACATGTTCGAATGAAGTACACAGCCACGTCTTCCGCATCTCAGAGATGGGGAGGCTATCAAGGCTTGTTGTACGTCGTATTCTCAACGCAAGAAATGGTGGTATCGGCATGTTGGTTGTTAAATAGGAGGGCCGTACTCAGTAGCAAAAATCTGGTTTGTTTCATGACGCGTTCTATTTTTAGTTGCAAGTATAACTACTATCCCTGATTAATGACCATAGGGGTACGTATCCCGCTCCTGTACCCCTCTGCTCGAAGGGATTTGATGGGTAAAAGCGATTCTGAAAAACATCCCGTCAGGACGTGTACTGTTAATAACCAAGCTGTAATTAAGTAAGTTCTCAATTCCCAGCACCATAATTTCCTACAGGGTCACTTTAGTGGCTATAAAAGCGGACGTGGCTAACAATATTCCCTTTCAAAACATTGGCAACCAGGCGGTTTTACCCGTGGTTACTACACAGACCAGACATTTCTCCTGTTGCCAAGAAACACAACCTAAACAGGGACGCTCCACCAAGAGAGCTAGAAATTGATGCATAATGGTTTCGTACGTTTCGAGACTTCCAACATGTACTACAGCTTTTCACTAGTGTTCGTTTGGGCATCAGTTCGTAGCCTAACACTGCCACAACTCAGAGATACGAAGCTGAGCTACCTCTTTGTTTTCTCTCTCCTCTCAATACTTCTCACATGTTCGTTATGAGAACAAGCTGCAATTGAATAAGGACTCACCAATGAAAATTGCCTCTAAGTAGTACTGACCTTGGCACGGTGTGACCAAGCACGCATGTCTTCATTTCCTCTCTCTCCCTCCTTCTTCGAGCTAATCCGCAATCGCGGAGTCCACCGCTCCTGTTGAACGTCGGAACTTTCTGCAAGGCTCCTTCTGCCGCGGCATTTATTTCAGCGAGGTTCGTCTCGATCTGTACGTCGCATCTTCTTCGGGGCTTTTCGTAGCCGCTGCTGAGAGCTTCGAAATCCAATGCCACTTTTGCGAGCTGTTCACGAGTGCTGCGACACCTTCGCATCTCCTTACTTGACTTTCGTATAAAGAGAAGTCGGCGGGCACCTGCCAATCCTGATAATATGTCTCTCATCAGCCGCGTGCAGCCGCAATCCCAGCTAGGAATGTTGTAACTCCATCGGCGAAAGACCTGAAAACACCTTTGCATTTACTGCCAGGACTTCTGAACAGGAAGAGACGACGTGAATGTTGATAAATACCCAACGCGTCTTGTTTGGAAACCTTGATAGCCTCTGTCTGCCCGCTGTTCTACGTAACTATCAGGGGGTATTTGGGGTGTTCTTATCCAGGACGTTCGACGAGAAACCACCGTCGAAACCAGGATGATCGCTGCGAGAATTCACATCAAGCGGCTGACCGATTGAATGTTGGAGGTAGAGTCACTAGTTCATCGTGGAAAATAACGTCACTTCGTTCCTAGGTATTGATATTTGTTGATAGCTTAATCGATATGCATTCTCGTATGAGCTGGTGGGTTTTCTAGTGAACTGCAAAAATTTCGATTCCTTATCACTGCACAAAGCTTTTTGGCTCTTGTCTATTTGATAGGGGACTTATTGCTGCGTTTATACTTTGCGGCCGCGGCGTAGCGGCTTTTCAGCGTAACGCCAGCGGACAGTGTCGGGGAAAAGATAGCTATCTGATTCTAAGCGTCCAAGCTCAAACGTACGCTAGCGTCATGGCTAGCGCGCACGTGGCGTAGCCTGGCGGGAAGCATAGCTATCGATCTAGCTTCACCAGCGTTTCTCCAGCGTTTTCCCAGCGCTTGCAGCGACGGGGCTAGAGAGGGGCTAGAGAGTATTGAAGGGAGGAGAGTATTTTGTACTCTCCTACTTTCAATACTCTCTAGCCCGCTAGCGCTTGCAGCGACGGTGGGCTAGAGAGGGGCTAGAGAGTATTGGAGGGAGGAGAGTATTTTGTACTCTCCTACTTTCAATACTTCTAGTCCCCGCTAGCGCTTGCAGCGACGGGGCTAGAGAGGGGCTAGAGAGTATTGAAGGGAGGAGAGTATTTTGTACTCTCCTACTTTCAATACTCTCTAGCCCCGCTAGCGCTTGCAGCGACGGGGCTAGAGAGGGGCTAGAGAGTATTGAATGTAGGAGAGTACAAAATATTCTCTGCATAATTATCAGCCGCTCTGCCTAGCCGTCGCGCAAGCGTGGAAAACGTCGGAGAACAGCTGGTGTAGCTAGATCGATGGCTAGTGTTTCAGCGTGCCTTCGCTACGCCAGCGTGCGCTAGCGTACGCTGGTGACGCTGGGAACGCTAGATCGATATCTATCCTTTCCCCGACACTGCCGCTGGCGTACGCTGGAAGCGCTACGCTACGCTGCCGCAAAGTATAAACGCAGCCTAAGGGTCCTCAGTCTAAGACTGATGCCTATATTAAGGGAGGATGAAGATTTATTGTGTGAAAAGGGATATTGCTAGACATACATGTTTGCACAAGCTTTCCATTCAATGACCTTCTCCTTGCATAGGCAGTTGCATAATTTCGCTTGGCTCTTAACAGTTTTTCAAATTTCTTTCAGGTATGACTTTACATCTTGAGCATATGCCTCGTGTGCTACGGCTCCGTCATTGCTGATGTAATGAAGTAATGGAGGAGAAGGAAGAAAAAAGTGAGTACTCTATTATTCATTATACTAGTGAATAGTTAAATATGATCTTAATTTTCCTTGATCAGTCCCCATCTAATGATAGAACTGATTCAGCTCTCACCATGGAATCACTTGATAGCTATTTGGATATGATCAAAATGTTCCGAGGTAAGTTACATTAGGGCTCTAATGCTAATTATGCTTAATGGACCTCAACAATCTTATAGGGTCAGTGTTGGTGGCATTGGGATTGAGCTGCTTGACCCACATGGTTAAATATGAGTACCGGACCGCCGCCCTCTAATCGAACGCTGTTTTTCATTTTGCGGCTACTCATTTGGCACCAAACTTTCCTTCCCGTTGCTGGGGAGGACAAAGTTCGAATAGCGACAGGTGATGATTGTAAGGGACGAGCATAGCATTCAAAATCACAATAGCATTCAAAATGCTCTTACATGATTCCGAACAAAGTAAAAGTGTGTTGGTCAACCGTAAAACGAGCTCACTTTTGGTCACGGTTCTCTACGTACAATGCGTCACCATCGCTGCCTCTTGATGATGCAACCCATCTCTGTGCGATCCCCTGAAGTTTGTATGTTGAAAGAAACCCTACAGGCTGCTATCCGGTCATGCCACTGCATGTGCTGGGCCTTTCCGTCTTTCGGAATCACGCCTCCGCTCTTTCCCGTTCTCAGGCGCCGTTCTGGGAAGTTTATCCACTGACACCAACTTCCCACTCCGTTCCCCCTCCGCAACTGACGGAAAACTAAATTAAATCTCAATGTTTGAGAAAGTTACGCAAAAATACTCATAGTCCGAAATTGAGGCGAGCGCGAATTAAACAAAAATTACTTTCCGCCGCGGTGAAGTGGGTCACCGCGCGCGGCGATTACATGCTTTAACGTTTGCATGTTTGAACATGTTTTACCTGTTTGGACATGTTTATGGCAGATGGAAGATGAAAGCAAGAAGAAGCTCCAAATAACTGCGATCGGGTCATATCGACTGGAAGTTGGCAAAATGCCGGGTCATGTCTCACCGCCGCGTCACGCGACCAGGTCGCCGCGCGCGGTGACCTAGTTTCCAACGCGGCGGTGACTCCTGGCCGTCTCCCCTCCCTCTGCCATTTCTCGTTCACTTGAATCGCGTTAGAGCACCAAACGTCCACTGACACTGACTGCCTACCCTACGTGAAGTAAAGGTGAATGGACGCAGTTGGCTTGGTGGAGGCATTTTTCTGGCTCCCGATCATTGCTGTGCCCTCCCATGGAGTCCTTTCAATTCCTGTGAAGCTATATCATAAAGGGTTTGGGTATTTGCTACGACTTGTGAAGACTGTTAGTGACATGGTTTTCGCTGAGATAAACTTTTCCAAATTCCGAACCAGTGATTTCCTTATACAAGGTCATCACATACTGCTGGAAACAAGAACACTGAACCGCGCTCACGGCCTTATGTAGGCTAATCAGGTGCGAAGATATTACAATTCACTGATGCGGACGAGTTTCCCAACATGGTACTCACGTACCCCTTCCTGTCAGAACACGTGAACGGCAGTGTGATCGCGCCAACAACGCCATCCCTAACGCATAGGCAACGAGTTTCGTTTATTTTGCAGAAGGTCTTACAAAAGTAAAACGTGTAAATTAACAAAAATGTGCAAAAAAAACGCGAAAGATGCAGAATGCCCTCCCCGTCGCCTCTTCGGGGCCAAACGATTTGCTCTATGTGAATCAAACGGTGGCCCGCTTGAAAAAGGGATTAGCTGGTCCCCAGTCGGTTGTCTATTTTGTACAGCTAGGAATTTTCAGGAATGCTACCTCAAGATTTCATGCATACAATTGACAACGTGGGTTGTTCAATGGAATCGTATGAATTATTTCATCCGAGTTTGGAGCCTTCATTTTGAAAAATTCCAGCTAAATCTCACCGAAAAAGGCGAACTGTTGAGTTTTATGACGGACTGGTACAATGGAAGAATCAAGAAGCCGGAAAACAAAGCAGAAATTGTGGAACTACTTCAGGAGAAACTACCAACGGTTAGCAACCCATTCTAGCCCAGTTATTCTAGTAACCCATCTCATTACTCAAAAAGGAGCCATAAACTTTGTTCAGGTATGAGGGGGGACAGATCCCTACTTGAATACGCTTTTTACACGAGTTCCAGAACTGGAAGCAGAAACCCAGATTTACGATCGCTCGGTAGATTTGCACACACAGGCAAAACTTTCGATTGTGTCGATGTCTTAACATTCTTTATCTCGTAGTTGAATGGGGGAGGTGGACGGACAGGCGGTCTAACGACGGCTGCTCATTCTACTGCGCTCTCTGTTTATGCATACAAATTTTCTGTGTCCAGATCGCTGGAGCTCTTCGAGCCACGGCTCTCTTTCTCAAGACATGAAGTGTTCATTCCGCGCTCATGATACGAGTGAAGTCGCTTGTGCGCTGTGCGTCCGTTTGCATTGGTGACCCTCCTCCTAGAATGAAAAAGAAGACGGAATGGGGAAAAAAGAGAAGGGAGCGCATCAGTGGGGGGGGGGGACAACTAGCGGTCAAGAAACACACAAATTAACCCCAAGACACAATGTGGCTTCAAGGTGGTGAATCGTATGAATGTAACAAGGCAAATTTGCACTAGACAGACTGTAAAATTCGATCCGTCTGATCTGTTCCGTTGAAAGAGCGCTGTTCGGCTCCGGGGAGAAGGGGATTTCGCACTTTCATTAGGTGCGTTTGCAAGCTCATGTTAACTAACAGGACTCACTAGGGTGAGCTTGTGAACCCTTGTGAAGCTGCAGTATGGTGCAACTGAGCCACTTTGGTTGCAGAGCTTCAGGTCTTTATGAAGTGGCCTGTAAAGCCTTGCTGGGTACTCAATTTTGCGTGCAGGCCACCCACCAAGATGAATGCGCCTTCATAGTTCTATAGAAAACTTTCTATAGAAACTTCGCAACTATGCTCAGTAGGGAGGCCATTGTTCGAAGGTACCGAACAACTCTCACTCCAACAGCCTACAGCTCTCAGGAAATCGAATCTGCTTAGGCCTACTGACCTTCAGTTCCTCCTTCCAGCAAAGTTCAGTCAATTGTAAACAGATTTGTTTTGACCAAAGGGCGAAAACATTGCTCGGAACAACTGCTTTTAAGATATCCCAAGTCCAAATAGTTGCATTACTTATTGCATTACATTATGGGACGAAACCAATGCATAAGGCATAGCAAAAAAAACTGAACAAGGGCACATTTCGCCATAAGCGGATAGGCGGAGACAGGGAGCCATTGCGCCCTCCTCATCGTGCGCCGCTTATTCTGAGGCGGAGAGGAGGAGCTCAGCCAACATGCCAGCAGGGTAGTCCTCCGTCTCCGTCGATGTGGATTCGCGCGGAATGTCCTTCTATCGCCGAGCCCTTCACCATCTTTTTTAAACGCCTCTAGATAGACTTTCTCAAAGCAACAATTCAGTTCTGACCAGTCATTTCAGTGGCGAGACAAAGCGGTCTCATTGGAAGGCGATACCCCTGCTGAATCGGTGGCGAAGAGGCTGCAGCTGCTCAGAGATGTCGCTTTATCCGTGCAAACGATGAACAACGAAACCAAAGAAGATATACGGTCGCAGTTCCCAACAGCTGTGAACTTAACTGAAGGTGAGACGACGCAAAGGCGTAAGGCACGATAATTTAGTACTTGCTCAACAATGATAGCAGGGGCGTTATACAATGGGGAAAATCGCGATAAAACGAGGTCAAACGACCAAAATCTGCGAAAAAACTATGTTCTTCACAGCGTTGGACGAGGAGGGTTTTGGGAGGGTTTCCCATGGGCATCGCGCCAACAATCGCTTTCAGTGTTACTACGGTCATTTGTAGGCGGGCGGTTATAGTACGTGCGGGTCGGCATGGTGCATCTTGGCTAGGCCTTATAACGGGCCCTTGGTTGGAAAAGGCCTAAGCGTATCGACCCTATGAGCCCTGTTGATTTATCGTGCCACTTGCCTTTGAACGTGCCGAGAACACGAC